ACACCCAAACCCGGCAAGCAGCTTAAGCCCGGTCATGCACCGTACACCGACAGTGCACGCCCAATCTGGGCGTATTCACGACCTGGGCTTTTAAACCACCAGTACTTGCCCCATCTATCAATGTCAAGCCTGAATATGCCCTGCCCGCTGATTTTCGGCGAACCTTTGTGTGCATGTGTGTGTGCGTGTGTGTGTGTGTGTGAGAGAGAGAGACAGACAGACAGACTCTTCTGAGAGAGAAAGAGAGAGAGAGAGAGAGAGAGAGAGAGAGAGACAGAGAGAGAGAGAGACTTTTTGCTTACCGTGCTAAAAAAAAAAAAAAAATTCAGGTCAGGGCCCATACCCCACTCGAAAGGGCGCAGGCCCAGACCCACAGGTCTACAGCTGGGCTTTCAAAACAAGCAGACGGACAGACGCACACACACACATAAAGCAGGCTATGTATGGGTCCAGGTCCGTGCCAAAAAAAATAAAAAAAATCAGGTCTGGGACTCTGGCCCATACCCCACTCAAAGGGTCACAGGCCCAGACCCAATTAACAACCCGGGCCCAAACCCAAGTCAACGGGTACAGACCCGCATCAGCGGTAGGTCAACCCCGGGAACCGGACACCGGGCTGGTTGTGTGGTTGGTTCGGTGGTTGGTGGTTGGGTGCATGGCTGGTTCGTTCAGTGGTTCCGTGCTTGGGTGGTTGGGTGGTTCTGCGGTTGGGTGGTTCGGTCGTTGGGTAGTTGGGTGGTTGGGTCGTTCGGTGGTTGCGTAGTTGGGTAGTTGGGTAGTTGGGCCTGGGCCTGGGCCTGTCCCTGCAGCTGCACCTGGGCCTGGGCCTGTACCTGGAGCTGCACCTGGGCCTGCATCTAGGCCTATCCCTGCCCCTGCATCCGCACCTGCACCTGCACCTCAGCTTGCACCTGCACCTGCGCCTGCACCTGGCCCTGCACCTGGACCTGCGCCTGCACCTGGGCCTGCATCTGCACCTGGGCCTGCATCTGCACCTGCACCTCGACCTGCAGCTGGGCTTGCATCTGGGTCTGCATCTGCACCTGCATCTGGACCTGCAACTGGGCCAAGCGAAAGCCGGGGCAGTCGGGATGGCTTGATCCTCCGGCAACCAACACTTGGGTGTCCCATCGGTGTGTGCCCTGTCGTGGCTCTGCACCTGGGGCTGCACCTGGGGCTGCACCTGGGCCTGCACCTGTACATGCACGTGGGCCTGCATGCGGGCCTGCACGTGGGCCTGCACGTGGGCCTGCACATAGGCCTGGGTCTGTACCAGGGCCTGGCCTTGCACATGGGCCCGGGGCTGCACCTGGGCCTGCACCTGGGCCTGCGTGTGTACATGCACGTGGGCCTACACCTGGGCGTCCACAGCGGGCCTGCACCTCGGCCCAGGTGCAGGCCCAGCGGGCCTGCACCTATACATGCGCCTGCATCTGTACATGGGCCAGGGCTTGCACTTGGGCCGGGACTTGCAGCGGGGTCTACACATGGGCGTGCATCTGTACCTGCACGTGGGCCTGGGCGTGGGCCTGCACCTGGGCCCCACCTGGGCCCAGGTGCAGGCCCGTTGTCGTGGGTGCACCTGGGCGTGGACCTGCATCTGCGGAGAGAGAGACTTTTTGCTTACCCTGCTAAAAAGAAAAAAGAAAAAAAAAAATCAACCCCGGGAACCGGACACCGGGCTGGTTGTGTGGTTGGTTGGGTGGTTGGTGGTTGGTTGAGTGGTTGGTGGTTGGCTATGTATGGGTCCAGGTCCGTGGCAAAATTTTTTTTTAAAAAATCAGGTCTGGGACTCTGGCCCATACGCCACTCAAAGGGTCACAGGCCCAGACCCAATTAACAACCCGGGCCCAGACCCAAGTCAACGGGTACAGACCCGCATCAGCGGTAGGTCAACCTCGGGAACCGGACACCGGGCTGGTCCACCTCAAGTCCACGTGCAGTATGGGTCCATCCTCAAGTCCACGCATAGTCCGGGACATGGCCCAATACGGACGACCTGGGCCTGCACCTGGGCCCACGGGGTATAGGCCCACGCCTGGTCCGAACACCACGGATCGGCCCCAATATGGGTCTTGTCCTAGGTCCAGGGCTTGCATGGGCCAGGGCTTACATGGGCCAGGGCTTGCACCTGGGCCGGGGCTTGCAGCGGGGCCTGCACATGGGCGTGGGCCTGCACCTGGGGCTCCACTTGGGCACAGGTTCGGTGGTTGCGTAGTTGGGTAGTTGGGCCTGGGCCTGGGCCTGTACCTGCAGCTGCACCTGGGCCAGGGCCTGTACCTGGAGCTGCACGTGGGCTTGCATCTAGGCCTATCCCTGCCCCTGCATCCGCACCTGCACCTGCACCTCAGCTTGCACCTGCACGTACACCTGCACCTGAGTCTGGGCCTGCACCTGGCCGTGCACCAGGACCTGCGCCTGCACCTGGGCCTGCATCTGCACCTGCACCTGGACTTGCACCTGGGCTTGCATCTGGGTCGGGGCTTGCAGCGGGGCTTGCACCTGGGCCTGCATGTGTACATGGGCCAGGGCTTGCACCTGGGCTTGCATATGGGCTTGCATCTGTACATGGGCCAGGGCTTGCACCTGGGCCGGGGCTTGCAATGGGGCCTGCACATGGGCGTGCATCTGTACCTGCACGTGGGCCTGGGCGTGGGCCTGCACCTGGGGCTCCACCTGGGCCCAGGTGCAGGCCCGTTGTCGCGGGTGCACCTGGCTGTGGACCTGCACCTACAGGCCTGCATCTGCGGGCCTAGGCGTGGGCCTGCACCTGGCCCTGCACCCAGGGCTATGGTTCGTCGGGTGGTTGGTGGTTGGGTGGATGGCTGGTTCGTTGGGTGGTTCCGCGCTTGGGTGGTTGGGTGGTTCTGCGGTTAGGTGGGTAGGTGGTTGGGTGGTCGGGTGGCTGGGTAGTTGGGTGGTTGGGTCGTTCGGTGGTTGGGTAGTTCGGTAGTTGGGCCTGAGCCTGGGCCTGTACCTGCAGCTGCACCTGGGCCTGGGCCTGTACCTGGAGCTGCACCTGGGCCTGGATCTAGGCCTATCCCTGCCCCTGCATCTGCACTTGCACCTGCACCTCAGCTTGCACCTGCACCTGCGCCTGCACCTGAGTCTGGGCCTCTCTCTCCCTCTCTCTTTCTCTCTCTCCCTCTGTCTCTCTCTCTCTCTCTGTCTCTCTCTCTCCCTCTCTCTTTCTCTCCCTCTCTCTTTCTCTCTCTCTCTCTTTCTCTTTCTCTCTCTCTCTCCCCCTCTTTCTCTCTCCCTAGAGCTTTGACCTTCACTTCTTACCCTCTCTTCCACTTCCTTCTTGGCACATGACTAACCTTTCCCTCTCACTTGTTACATTGTCAGAGAACGAACGGTAAACAAACTCGGTCCTCACTTGGTGGAGAAAGAGGGCAAGGGGAGGGTTGCCGGTCCCTTGTGCCACCAAGAGGGAAAAGGAGGGACATCTGAGAAAAACGAAAACCAAGTGACGGTGGTTTTACCGTCGTTCAAAATCATATTGTTTATGATAATCGTCGAGTCGTTCAGTACAACCCATACTTGCTGATGAGGTTTAACTGCCACATCACTGTCGAATGTTGTGCTAACATCAAGGCGTGCAAGTATGTGTATAAGTACGTGTGTAAAGGGGGTAATCGTGCCATGGTTTGCGAACAAGATAATAATGCTCCTGTCGATGAAGTCAAATCCTATTAAGATATGCGTGTTGTTGGTGCATGTGAGGCATGTTGGCGTCTGTTTGAGTTCGACCTTGCGGAACAGTGGCCCGTAGTCGAAAGATTGCCGGTGCATATCGAAAACATGCAAAAAGTGGTCTTCGAACCAGACACGAAAGATCATGTTGTTTTCCGCGGATCGCCGAGCACAAAATTGACGGCATGGATGGATCACAACTCTTTGAACGAACGTGTTCCTAAACACGAACTTCCTTTGTATCCTGAAATTATTAAGACTCATGTGTGGGATAGTCAACATAAGGTGTGGAACAAAAGAAAGCATGCTCTTCATGCTGCTCCTTTCGAAAAGATAACTCGATTGCATCATGTCAAGGTCATGGAAGGCGAACGCTTTTATCTCCGTGTGTTGCTAAACCATGAAGACTCTCGTGGAACTCGCTCTTTTGCGGAAATTCGTATCGTCGATGGAGTCGAATACGATTCGTTCCGATCGGTGTGTCTTCGATTAGGACTTTTGCAAACCGATGATGCATATAATCAATGTATAGATACGACCGCACTCCATTATATGCCTGCAGAGGTTCGTAAAGTATTCGTTATGCTTCTGCTGTTTGGGCCGGCCAACAATTCTGTTCAATTCTTTCAACGACCTTGGAAAAAAATGTATGATGATTTTCAGTATCGTGCGGACTCTCAGATTCTGCCTCTGATCGTTTTGCAATGTTTAGTGCTCTTTGATCTTGACCGTATCTTGTATGAGTCTGGCAAAAACATCCGCCTGTTCGGTCTTTATTATCCGACCCCTGATGGAGGAACAATTGCCGACAACATAAATAGGCATTACGAGAGCAGGTATGTGTCCTCGATTATAAATGACGAATTGTCGTATGATCCGATTGAAATACGAACTAAATTTGAGTCTAATTTTCGACGTCTTCGGCCGCGCCAATGAGTGCTGGTGCAAAGAGTTATTTGGGCCGTGAAAGAGAAACAACCGCTTTATGCTTTTGTAGATGCGCCGGCGGGAACAGGAAAGACTTTTTGCATAGAAACAATTTTGGCGGGGATCAGGTCGCGCAATGGTATTGGACTCGCTGTGGCGTCCAGTGGGATAGCGACGACTCTTTTGACGGGTGGTCGAACATTTCATTCGCGATTTCGAGCACCTTTGAAACCTGATAACACGCGTCCCTTCAATATTTAAAAACAGAGTGATCTTGTCGAACTTATCCGTCGTGCCGACTTGATCGTTTGGGATGAAGCTCCAATGAGCAACAAGTTCAACTCTTGACATTACGCTTCGAGATGTCTGTAACAGTAACCTCCCGTTTGGAGGAAAGGTTTTGCTTCTTTTTGGGGACTTTCGACAGGTTTTGCCGGTTGTGAAACATTGGTCTCGAGCACAACAAATTGATGCCTCTATCAAAATGTCTCCTTTGTGGAAACTTTTTGAGGTCCATTGCCTGACTGAGAATATGCGGATCTTAAGCTTAGGGGATGACGCAATGACGCGAATGTATGGCGTGTTTTTGATACGTATTGGGAATGGTGATCATATTCGTTTTATTCCTAACAAACCTGCCACGGTCAAACTGCCGCATGAGATTTGCACTGATAAACCTATTCGTGATTTGATTTCCTGGACGTTTGAGGATGTCTGTGAACACGTTGGGGATGATGACTATTTTTACGCTCGATTGATTCTCTGCGCTACTAATGACGATGCGAGGTGTGTTAAAGCACTAGTACCTTTCCCGCGTGGGAAAATAGTGAAAACTGACAGTTTTTCCAAGCGCCTGAATTTTCGGAGGTCAGGCCCGATGACGACTGCCGTTTATAAATTTGATCCGTGACAGTCGTTTCGTTTCGGCCGCTGCAAAGGTCGGACGCCTACCCGAGGCCCGCTATTTTTCCAACGGGAAAGGTACTGGTGGTTTAACGACATGGTTGTAACGATTTCCTTGGCGAGGTGCGTGAAAGTTATAGTGTTGATTACCCTGGTTATGATGATCACGGACTTGGCATCGAGCGCGAGTTCTTAAATTCTCTCGATGAGTCTGGTCTTCCACCTCACAAACTGCGCTTGAAAATTGGTGCGCCTGTGATGTTGTTGCGCAATTTGTCGCCCAAACAAGGACTTTGTAATGACACAATGTTGATTCGTAAAAAGATTGTTGATGATGACTTGTTGGAAGTGACCATAATGCGCACCAGTAAAACGACACTGATCCCCAAAATCGATTTGACAAGTGATGGTGAAACCACCGGGTTTAAATGGAATAGGAGGCAGTTCCCCATCCGTCTTGTGTTCGTTGCGACCATAAACAAGTCGCAAGGACAAACTGTCTCTCGTGTCGGGGTTTGGTTGTGCAAAC